GAGAAACCCCTTGTCGCCTTCCAAGAATATGGCTGATGTTATCCTCCAGGAAAGTGACTTGTTGCGCCTTCTCGGTTTATATTTTCTGCTGATATGAAGACTATAAGGAATCCATTGCTAGGTCAGCTGCTGAGAAAGTCGGTTCACTATGACGGACGAAACAATTTTTCTCTCCAGAATCTATCTTACATATCTTTATCGTCCATGCTTAGAATATTGCTGCCACGTATGTTCGAGTGCCTCTGATATTTACCTTGAACATTTTGATGTCAAAAGAAGGATCAGCGATATTATTGATCCTGACCTGAAGGCTCAGCTTCAGTCACTTTACCACCACTGTAAGGTTGTCTATGTCTTTTCTATCAATATTTTAATGGTAATTGTTCGACTGAGCTCTTCGCTATAGTACCTAGAGTTTCTGAATCTAAGCACAGCACTAGACTGGCGTCGAGATCCCATCAATTTACAGTTGAGCTGGCTAGATGTGAACCGTAAGTTCTATGCTAACAGTTCTCTTCTCTCACACTTCTCGCTTGTGGAACTCTCTTCCGGCTCCATGCTTTACATCCCGCTTCAAGCTGCAAGCATTTAAATGCAACGTCAATCGCTATCTTTCGATTGTCCACCTGATTACTATCTTTTTCAAGTCATCATTAATGTTTCAGATGCTAATTTTTCCACATCCTGTAACCCCTTCTGTTTTAGTGATATTAATACCTTGCTTGGGATGATTCTGACAAAAAAATACTGACAATACTTCGGATTTTAATCGAGTATAAACGTGTGCTAACGTAATTAGTATTTCACGGTGATTTATCTAAATGCAAACGCGTCTATGTATATATGTATGTATAAACTGAAAAAATAAAAAAAATTAAATGAATTAAAATTTAATGTATATATATATATATATATATATATATATATATATATATATATATTGAACAATAAGAAAATAAAAAATTAAAAAATTAAAATCATTAGGACACACTGGGTTGTAGATTAATATTCTTTCGTTTTTTTTTTTGTTTTTTTTATTATTATTCCATTTAGATTCCTCGACTAGTTTCGACCGAAATGGCCATCATCGGGAGGAGAAATATTTCTGCTTGCTGTTAGCAGTGAACTACAGAAATGAATGTCTTTTGTTGGAGAAAATGAACTTTTGTCTGTAGTTTTCATTTGTTTTTTTTATTTTTTATCTTTTTTCACATGAATCTTTTAACATTCCTTGTGTTGGTCAAACAGTCTCTTTTAAGTTGTTATTTGAGATAAGAGCTGGATAGATACATTTTATCCTGAATTCTCTGGTCAGTTTGACAGTTTTATTGGACCTGGTGAGGGGATGTCTCTGTTTAGTGTTTGTGTGTGTGTTATTTGGTTCTTAGGGAGTGAGTGAGTATGATATGTGTAAGCGTGTGTATTGCTGTAGGTGTGTGTTATCATTTGGCTCATTAGGGAGTGAGTGATTATGGTGTGTGTATGTGTGTATAATCGTGTGGGTGAGTGTATAAGTGTGAGGCCTCCATTCCTCCGTAAGAATGTCTGTCCTGTGGGTGAGAAATGTGGGTAGGTTTTGATTTGTTGAGTTATATATTGTTACTATTATATATTGTTAAATTTATGATTTAGCCCGGCTGGGTATTTTGTTTTTGACGTTGTATCCACTTATTTTCATGGGACTCTAAAAATCTTTCTAATGTTATCTGCTCTGAACTTTTTTTATTCTCTCAATTATAGTGAATCTGGCATGGGTTTTGAAATCGTGTTTTTCTAGGCGGAAATGTTGTTCTACAGGTAATAATTGTTCATAGGGAGTCGATTTAATTCGCTTACGATAATTATTAATTCTGTAGTTAAAGAGCCATTCAGATTTTCCTACATATTGTTTCTGGCATAGTGTGCATTCTAGGAGGTAAATTATGTTATAACTTCTACAGTTAGAATCGTGGTAGATTTTGAAAGTAGATTTAGTGATTGAGCTAGTGAATGAATTCGTGTTTTTAATATGGTTGCAACATAAACTTCTTTTGTTGTTACATGGTTGGGAAAATCCTGTTGTTTTTGTTTTTAGTTCATTACGGATTACCTTGTCCCCTGAAATGTGGTTACTACCTATGATTTCTTTTAGATTCTTAGGTCTACGATATGCAAGAAGGCCGGGTTCCTTAAGCAGTTTTTTTAGGTCTGGTTTGAGATGTAGTATTTCCCAGCGACGTTTGATTATTTGGGATAGTGGAGGCAGAGTGGGATTGAAAGTGGTTACTAGAGGGATGCGGCTAGATTTATTTTTAATCTTGTATATTAGGGTGTCTTCTCTAGGTATGGAAATTGCTTTATTTATTTGTTCCCTGATTAGGTGTTGTTTATAGCCACGTGTTGTGAATTGATGCTCTAGATTTTCAATGTCTTCATTGTTGGAACATATCCTTCTGAGTCTAAGTACTTGTGAATAGGGAAGGTTCTCTTTGAGGTGTTTAGGGTGGGAAGACTTTAAGTGTAGATAGTTGTGGGTGTCGGTGATTTTAGTGTGTCGTGTCGTTTATATATATATATATATATATATATATATATATATATTGGAGGAATCGAGACTTTTCTCATACAGTCTCAGTTACGGTGGACTGGTCATGTCTTGAGAATGTCTCATGACAGAATACCCAAGATCATAATGTACAGCCAGTTAGATCAGGGCTACAGGAATGTGGGACGCCCATGCCCAAGATACAAAGAGAAGCTGAAAAGGAACTTGTCAACTGTCAATATACCACATAACACCCTTGAGCGGTTAGCCTTGGAACCGGTAGAATGGAGATCAACGTGTTTTATTGGACTTAGGAGTTTTCAATCTGCTTGTCTGAATCATCTTCAAGAAATGAGAGCAAGAACTAAAAGATCAGCCAATCTAACAGTGATCTTATCTCACAATCCTCACTCTCATTTCCTTTGTAAATCACTAGCGGGTCTTAAGTGCCACTTAAGATTATAGCACAAAATTTCATAATTGAATCAACTAAGCTGTCAGATCCTCATACATCGAAACTGACGGGACAGTCCATTATATATATATATATATATATATATATATATATATATATATATATAAAGTGGACATTGAAGTCAACACCTAGAAGTGACAGTCTGCTCTATGATTGACGCAATCGCCAGGCTACGTGCGTTCTTTTTGCTCATCTATTTATATGTACATGTTAGAAGGATTTTCTCGGAATCATTTAAGTTTCTGTGATGTGATGGCTACCTTCTCAGACGGAATACATAACGGTGGGAAAGTCTATCACAGAACAAGAATTATCCCCTTTATTAATTGGAATCCTCATACTATCGTCTGAATTATGACGTTCAGTGAGATTTATGTAAATGTTAGAAATAATCTCTTTAAATATATATGGAAAGTTCGACCAATAAAACTCTAGAAAATATAAAATACATCTTATGTGTATGTAACCACTTTTTAAAAGATTATTAATTTAATTTTATAAAGAAAATAAATGCGAATATTCAGTACTATTTTTCTTTAATGATTAAATCGTGTAAGTCATTTTTGTCTCTTTACAAAGAGTTTATACTTTACAAATCTTCTCAAAATTGGTCATAATTTATAAAGCGTTACGACGTATTCGCAATAGTAAATAATATCTGGGGTGCGTTTTAACAGATGCCAAAAAAAGACACACCGAAATCCTAAACGAACATTGGAATACGGAAATTTGCCTTCCAGTAGCTAACCAAAATATTCATGTAGAAACAGAGAAAAATTGTATCATTGCTCCATATAGCAATGCCGGACCAATTTTTCACAGATCGAGCGAATTGTGTAGTTAATCTAATCAATATTGATCTTTATGTGAAAGGTGTTAAAAAGAGACAACAAAATGTGTCACAAATATTTAAAATAATAGAAGATTGGTGTGCAGAATCTAGCAATAAATTTCTGTGTTAGATTCGTCTTCACAGTTAGATCCCGGGGTATCGATTTACTATAAACAAAGCAAAGTACCCTAAAGAAATAGACCATTCATCGATGTTACGCTCTTTACGGACGGACACGAATTAAACTGATCCTGGCTTATTCAGGCTAATAAAAATTTTATTTAAGACCCTATGTCCTCCTATCTTTTCTACGTATAGAATAGTATCAACTGAGTTTGCTTACCTTTCCTCACGTAACTTGAGAAAAGGCTTTTAATTAGAGTAATTTATTTATGACTTCAATCTTGAATGCAAGTAAAAAGGTATTTACGGTCATATTTTAACCTAAAAAATCAGTGTTATTGTTGTGACCAAGTAAATGGTTACAGAAATAACAAACAAGTGTTGCAGATATATCCTATATTAAACAGTAAGTACAACAGAAGAGTATTATACGACTAGTGAGTGTGTGTCGGTTGATCCAGCGTTCAATCTATTCGGATGTGTCCCCAAGGCCTTCTTTCCTACTAATTTTATAGTAGGCGGAAGAATCCAACATAGACAGTTATGAAAACCCCGTGGAATTTTCACGGCTCCTCTTAGTAAGAATTATTATTTTAACTTTAGTATAGTCATGACACCTCTCACCCCATCAATATCGCTCTACGAGGGTAGATCATTGAATCCGTTGCTTCTAGCAGGATTTTGATTTAGCGTTAAGAACATTGATAAGGAAAAGGACAAGTTTGTTCACGTTTTAATATCTACTAGGATTTTGACCAATCGCAATGACCTCAAATGTGAGAAGAATATTGTTACTAATTATTTAGTTTTAATATCGAAATATACATATTAAAAGTTAATGTCGAGCGAATGGTGTAGTTAATCTAATCAACATTGATGTTTATGTGAAAGGTGCAGAAAAGAGAATATAATTGTAAATTCTTTAAATAAGTTTTGATATAATTACAAAGACGCAGGACCAAAAGCTCACAGACTTACTAACTCACTTCGAGAGAACACCTGACTTTCCATATGTACGTATATAAAAAGTAACAATCTTTTTTCAGACATCTCATTCATTTTGGGCGAATTTACAAGGCAGTGTCTCACCTGACTTTCTCTCTCACATCTTAAGGTAAGATATAAATAGTTGAATTACAATCAGCAAATAATTGAATATTAAACGAAAATTCCGACTGTCGAAAAGTTTCTAATTGATATTAATTCGAGGTGGAAGAATATTCTTAGATTGAGCTTAAAAAACTAAACAAATAACAGTCCATCTATTAGAGTTCATTCTTTATCTATCTATCTATCTATCTATCTATCTATTAGTTTTCATTATTTCTCTGTATGTCAAGGTAAGTTTTTGCTGAAAATGTCTGGGAGAAATCAAGATAGGGTACTATCGTTCGGCAAGATATTTTCAAATTAACCCATATATATATATATATATATATATATATATATATATATATATATATATATATATATATGTATATATATATATATAATTATTCCCAAACATTCGGTATAGAAAATGAACATATATTATGAAAAATCCGTCATATATAATAACAAAACGTTTCATCATCAAAACCTTCATGTTATTATTAAGAAAATGATTTTTTACCGTTTTTAGATCGTTCGAAATTTAGGTTAAACTTTTTGTTTTACTTGCAGAGGACCAAAAATTAGTATAGGAAATGTTAGCGTTTTTTTTATTTTTTGTTTTGTATTTTTTTTTCGTTGCAAAACACATTGGATTGGAAATTTTTTGTACAAATCAAATTATTATTTAATGTAACTTTCAAGGCTTATACAAAAAATGAATTAAATTATTTGAGAAAGATTACTTTATAGAAAATCTCAGTAAAAATATTTTATTATATTTATAACCTCACACTCATTCAATCTTACGAAATTCATTTTGTATGCCATAATACTGATATTAGTTATAAGCAGAAGCCTCTGGATAATTTAGATAATAAATTTAAAATAAAAACATTACCGAAATTCTGCTCTAAATCGTAAAATAAAAAATACCATAAAACTAAAACATTGTTTAATTATAAATGATTTTAATTGCTTTTATGAATAAAATATATTATGGACGCTATTGTCTTAAGAAAAAAAATCGGTATTATTGAATTTTTACAAGAATTGTTTTCATGTTTTATTTTCCACATTTAACTAGAATATTTTATAAAGATTTAAATAATTTAAAATCCTGTATTAATTTAGTACGGGTTCCGTGATATAAAATCTATATTTACTTATCATCAATGGAACACCTTACTTCATTTTAGTCACACCCACAAGTAATTTAAAAAAGAATTTTGATTTTTTGTGTGTGTGTTTCTAAATATGTTAAATTCTTTAAATACGGACGTCCATAAACGACATTTTCGTAAAATAAGAGTAACTATAGTAAATTTAAAGCCAATGTACTTAAAATTCAAGAAAAAAAAATAGATTCTTAAGAACATTTCCCTAAATGTTTAAGATTACTGGACAGTTTAAAATATATACTATGTAACGTGCCATTTTTGAATGTACGGTTGACCATACAGACCATTATCAGAAAATAAGAGCAATGACTATAGTAAATTTAAAGTGAACATCAACAAATTAAGTTATCGAGAATAATTTCCAAAATTTTTTAAGATTACTGAGTACTTAAAAATTATATAAAATAAATGCCCACGTTATTTCCTTAAATGATGTCTTACAGTCAAGTAATTTTTACAGATAGTATCGCCGTAGAAAAAAATAGTTAAATTTTTGGATGCAAAGAGATGTCTGTGCGGGGTGACTTCAAATACTATTAGACTGGTCATAGATTACCCCAATAATCAGTCCTAAGTATGAGTTTTTTTTTTTTGTGAGTAGTTCTCTACTCACCACAGCCATATACTGTTCAGTCGAAGATAATATCATGCCCTACATGAAAAAAAATGGCCCTTGATAATTTGCTTGGGGAACACCCCGATGACTCCAGAGACTTTTTCACGTTGTCTAGTGGAACGACAAATTTTGAGGAAGCCCTTGTCAACCACGAAGACTAACACTGTTCCCTTTACATACTTCTGTAATTCCTGGTCATCGACCAAGAGGCAGCCATTTTTGATAAGATGGGCAGACCCACTAGCTCTTTCAAGAAAACTCCGTTACGTTTATTTTGCTCACTGGTGGGAACTTCCAGCCACAGTGTAATTCCCAGGCCACTGCTTTGTCAGTTTTACTTTCATTCTGGTCACTATTTTTGGCCACCAGCCTTACTTGGTCATTGTTTCGGTCGTTCATGTTTTCATTCTTCTTTTGACCATTATCGGCCACCATATATTCTTTGACTTTATTTGTATTATGGCCATCCGTACATCCAAAGTCATCTTTAAGTTTGTTTTGGCTCTTTTGGGCCACCGCATTTTCAGTCTTTTTTTGGCCATTATAGGCAACCATATTTTCTTTGACTTTATTTGTATTATGGCCATCCGTACATCCAAAGTCGTCTTTAAGTTTGTTTTGGCTCTTTTGGGCCACCGCATTTTCAGTCTTTTTTTGGCCATTATAGGCAACCATATTTTTCTCATTATATCACTTATTTCATCATCATTCTTTTGGAGTAGTCAATACGCAGTTGATGCGTTCTCGTCTGGTGGGTTGGTCTTTGGGGCCTTCCCGAAAAGATTTTTCTTTTTCGACTGACTTTTGTCGGATATATTGCTTTTATAAAAACTTTTTCCCAAAATCTGTATGACACAAGCCAATATGAATGGTTCTAAAAGATAAAACAAAGAAATAAAATTGAAAACCAACTTCAGCAGAAAATATTTAAGTTTTCTTAAGATAAAAATAAATATGGGTCGCAAATAATAATCAAATGCCGGTTATAAAAAAAATGGTTCGGCGTCATGTCAAAGACGATTCAAGTTTGGCGTCAACTAGAGTGTGACGCGAAGGGAAAAGAAATAATCGGAAATGAACTTTTCGTGAGGAAAAAAATATAAAGGTTTGACCTAGAGCAAAAAGATTTTAACTAAAAGAAAATAGGAAGTGAATAGAAGAAAAATACCCCCCATAGATTTTAGAATAAAATAAAAGGATGATTTAAACAAAAAACTGTCTACTGGTGTAAGTAAAAGTTACGCGAGAAAAAAAAAGAGTTTTGGAAAAGTTTGAAATTAATTATTCAAACTGAAGCTAAACCTTCCGAGAACTGAAAGAATAAAAGAACACGGTGCAATAAGAAATTTACGAAAAACATAAAGATTTTCATAAGAGCAAAAAAATAAACTGTCTAATAAGAAGAAAAACTTAAGTGTCTAAAGTAAAAGTTTAAGAAAAAATAAACAGTAGATTAGTATAACTAAATCCATACGAGAAAAAAAAATCGCCCAAGTATCGTGTGGGGATGGAAATAATCAATAAAACCGGTGTGTTCAGTTTTACGGAAAAAAATAATAAAAAAATGGTGTTTTCTGTTTTACGGAAAAAATAAACAAAAAGCCGGTGTTTTCTGTTTTATTGAAAAAAATAATAAAAAATCGGTGTTTTATTTTTTACGAAAAAAATAATCAAAAAATCAGTGTTTTCTGTTTTATGGAAAAAATAAACAAAAACCGGTGTTTTCTGTTTTATAGAAAAAAATTATCAAAAAACCGGTGTTTTCTGTTTTACGGAAAAAAATAATCAAAAAACTGGTGTTCACACTTTTACGGAAAAAATAATGCAAAATCCAGTGTTTTCTGTTTTACGGAAAAAAATAATCAAAAAACTGGTGTTTTCTGTTTTACGGAAAAATAATAAAAAAACCGGTGTTTTCTGTTTTACGGAAAAATAATAAAAAATTGATGTTTTCTGTTTTATGGAAAAAATAATCAAAAAGCCAGTGTTTTCTGTTTTACGGAAAAAATATTAAAAAAAACGGTGTTTTCTGTTTTATGGAAAAGTAATAAAAAACTGGTGTTTTCTGTTTTACGGAAAAAAAAATAATCAAAAAGCCAGTGTTTTCTGCTTTACGGAAAAAAAATAATCAAAAACCCGGTATTTTCTGTTTTACGGAAAAATAATCAAAAAGCGGGTATTTTCTGTTTTACGGAAAAATAATCAAAAAACTGGTGTTTTCTGTTTTACGGAAAAATAATCAAAAAGCCGGTGTTTTCTGTTTTACGGAAAAATAATCAAAAAACCGGTGTTTTCTGTTTTACGGAAAAATAATCAAAAAACCGGTGTTTTCTGTTTTACGGAAAAATAATCAAAAAACCGGTGTTTTCTGTTTTACGGAAAAATAATCAAAAAGCCGGTGTTTCTCTTTTACGGAAAATAAAAGAAATTCGTTTCGGAACCGAGAGTAGGTAAGGGAAATAAAATAAAAAAAAACGAAAAGAAATAAAATTCAGAGAAACAACAATTGATTAAAAAAAATTTCAAATAAAGTTAATAACTTAACGTAACCGAAGACAGTCTTTAACATAATCCTAAAGGTGTTTATCAGAAGTGAACGTGAAACGGTCTGTTACTGGTCAAAGACTCACGGTACCGTAGCGACGAGTTTATCTGAACAATTAATATGGAAGTATTTAGGTACAGCGAAGCAACTTTACGGCAGTGAGAAAGTGACTGAAGCTTAGAATATTATCATGTCGTAAAATCAACCAAGCAGAATTGATCACGTCTGTCCTGACGAAATGTACCTACTCTTTTTTTCGATGACAACAACATTCTTCCTCTGGAGAAGAAGGAATGTCGAAGAGGTTCATGTGGTTGCCAAGATCAATTAATACTAATTACTAATAAATAAAATAATCCTGGAACATTGCAGGAAAAAGGGTAGAAATCTAAGCGGAACTTGGTTAGATTACCGTAAAGCCTTTGATAGTGTTCCACACACTTGGATACGGAAAGCTTTTGAAAGGTTCCAAGTCTCCTCAGTGATAATTTTTTCCCATAAACGTACATGGAACTGTGGAAAACGCCATTATACCTGAGTTATAAAATTTGGATCCTTTCGACGAGGAATCTTTCATGGAGATTTCCTGTTGCCTATTCCCTTTTATGTGTCCACATTTCATATAAACTAAACAGTAAGAACTATGGATGCAAAGTAAAAAACGAAGTTTTTAATCACCTATTCTACATGGACGATATTAAATTCTTTGCCAAAGACGATAATGAGTTGAAGATTATCCACAATACTGTACAATGTTACAGTAATGACATTGGTACTGATTTCGGATTAGATAAATGTACAAAAGTAACACTCAAGAAAGGGAGAATTACAGAAGCACACTCAATAGATTTAGATTTAGTCACAAAGATTAGGAAACTGGAACAAGATGTAGCCTATAAATACCTAGGAGTCAGCGAAGGGGATGGAATACAGCATACGCCCATGAAAAAGAAAGAAAAGAATACTACATTCGTCTGCGTCGGATGTTGCATAATGAGTGGAATTCACAAAATAGAATATAAACCATTAACACTTTGGCTGTCCCTGTGGTCCAATACATTTTGAACATCCATAACTGGACCATAGCAAACATTAACATTAAAATTTTGGAAAACCACATTATACCTAAATCACACCAAAGGTACTGCCACTTCTAATATCCGACGAGGAATCTGTCAAGGAGACTCCCTGTCGTCCCTTCTGTTCTGTCTCTCTTTAATCCTTCTTTGGCATGAACACAACAGTAACTATGGATACAAAATTAAAAAAAAAATATAGCTTATTCATCTATTTTACATGGATGATATCAAACTCTTTGCCAATGACGGCAATGACTTGAAGAGTCTCCTCAGTACTGTAAAATGACGACGCAGGTATGAATTTCGGATTAAATAAATATACAAAAGTAGCATTCAAGAAAGGGAGAATTACAGAAATACACACAACAGGTGTAGATTTTGTCACAAAAATTAAGAAACTGGAACAAGAAGAGGCCTTTAAATATCTAAGAGTCAGTGAAGGAGATGGAATACAGCATACGCCCATGAAAAAGAAAGAAAAGAATACTACAGTCGTCTGCGTCTCGTGTTAAATACCGAGTTGAATTAACAAAGCAGAATATCTTCCATTGGCAGACTCTTTGACTGGACAGACATATTATAGGCCTATAATTTTTGGGATCATATGTTTCATCCATTTTTAGTAGAAGATATATATATATATATATATATATATATATATATATATATATATATATATATATATATATTCAGTGATACCTTCTGAATTTCAATAGCGTTATTAATTAGCATTGATAAAGTTCGTGCTAGAGTTTTATGGATTGATGAAAAATGATAACGCCAAATCTGTACCTTTTTGTAAATTGCATGGGATTTCAATATTTGAGATTTTATTAGAGCTTACCTAACATTATTTTTGGTTATAGATTTCCATTCTTGCCCAAGTTTATCCTTCATTCTTTCTTGTTCCCGTTTTGAATAAATTTGCATTGGGATATTATTCTTTTAGGATGCTCCAAATATTCCTGCAAAATCTTTGCAACTATTCAATAGGTGGTGGCTTTTTGTCTTCTACAACTGATTTTCCAATTTCTCTTTAAAGATGACGTCTTATTTTGTCGATAGAACCTACAACGCTTTTCATATCGTTTTGTTCTCTGTGCCTTTCATTGCAGTTTTTTGTTTAAGCATTTCCTTGATTGGTAGAATTATATTTACTGTTTTCATTTTATATTTCCGTTTGATCTAAGGGGAAATTGGAAGGGAGATAATCTTGCATAATGTTTACTCGCTATATGCTCGGTCATCTTCTTACATAGAATTGTGTATTTAATAATTAAAAGCTTTCTTTAAGAAACTGGTAAAAAAACAAAGAAATATGACATCATTAGTAAATCAAAAAGAAATTGAATCATAAATTTAAAACTATTTTATAGTTAATTCACTTCTTCGAAATAACTGTAAATTGGATGTATAGTTTATCTTTTACCTTACAATATGGTTAAATTTTGAATCTCTATCTATAAAGGCAGGATGTGTGTGTGTGTGTGTGTGTGTGTGTGTGTGTGTGTGTGTGTGTGTGTGTGTGTGTGTAACGAATGCACGGCCGAAATTCTCGACTGATTTGCACCAAAATTTACATGCACATGCTCCAAGTTAGCGGGAAGGTCAAGACCGACTTTGAATTTCCCAACTCCCATCGATAGTGGAAATAATCGATTTTTCAAGCTTCCACGGCAGTTTTCATGTAGTTTGCGGCCATTTTCTACTGGCCAGAGTGAGAGCCTATAGCTGGCTGCCACGAATAGGCAGGAAGATTCTGTTGGCCAGCGTGAGAGCTAACAAGTGACTGACACGAATGTTAACTAGCATGCTAGCATGCAAAAAAACCGATAGCTGCATTCGTCACAAGTGGGAAAAATTTAAATCTGCATGGCACTTTACTCCAATTGGCTCATTCACTTGCTTAAACTCAACATTGATTCTGATTCGGCAGAACTGGGTTGGGTGTTAAAAAGTATTTGTTGTTAACATTCTTTTTTTCATTCGGTTTGTCCAGTTACGAGTCCTTTTTTAAAGCTGATCGTTTTGTGTTCATTTTGTTTAGTTCTTTTTTCATAACAGATTTAATGTTTAGTATAGAGCTTAGAAAAAATTCGCAGTGTGAGATAGGCAAGAAGTAAGGCATGTAGCAACATCATCACGGCAAAGCGCACTCCTTTAAAGTCAAGGAAAGG